GCAAGTTGTTTTCTTGTTTGGATCACACTTCTCAAAGGGGCACCAAGTGTTCCACAGGAGAGATCACCCTGTGACCCTGCTGCTCCCAAAGGGGTGCACAGCCCAGCCCCAGTCTGACAGCCCCAGGAGTAGCTGTGGTGTGGCTGGAAAGCAAGAGCACAACAGAAATGAATCCCTGGCTGGAAAATTGCTGGAAGTTTGCTTAGCTCAGAAAGAAACCCTGAAGCTGTGAGGTCTGATGCTGGCTATACTTTTTTTCCTGTGTGAGCCAGTGGTACCCAGCATCTTTCTGACTCTTTGTGCTGATGAATGCAGTGTAGTGCTGTGAATTTTATCTGGGTTTAGATCAGCTGATGGTCCTCTTCAAAAAGAGACCTTCATCCTCTGAAGCTGAGGAACACCTCTTGCAAGGATTCATCACGAATGACAAAGGCTTTAACGTGCTGTTGTCATTCTGGCCTATCTGTAACTCCTAGATGTTGTTTCCCCTGGCACAATGTTACCTGAGAAGAGCAGGATGGTTTGGCTGCAGGCTGAGCCTCCCAACCCCTCTGCTCCTGCCTCCTACCTTGACATGGGCACTGGGAAAGGACAAAAGTCCAGAGGGCAGAACTGCAGGAATGAGGGAACACAAGGAAATGAGAGGCTACCAGTAACTCTAGAGTTAAATAAATCACAGAATCCCTGAATGGTTTACTTGGAAGGACCTCAATGCCCATCCAGTCCCACCCCGATGGGCAGGACACCTTCCTCTGTCCCGGGGTGCTCCAAGTGTCCAACCTGGCCTTGGGCACTGCCAGGGATCCAGGGGCAGCCACAGCTGCTCTGGGCACCTGTGCCAGGGCCTCACACCCTCAGGGTAGTTCTTCCCACAGGGAAAAATTTCTTCCTAAAATCTAATCTAAATCTACTCTCCTTCAGGTTGAAGCCATTCCACCTTGTCCTGTTCCTCCATGCCTTGTCCCCAGTCCCTCTGCAGCTCTCCTGGAGCCCCTTCAGGCCCTGCCAGGGGCTCTGAGCTCTCCCTGGAGCTTCTCCTTTCCAGGTGAGCACCCCCAGCTCTCCCAGCCTGGCTCCAGAGCAGAGGGGCTCAACCTGGTGGCTCTAGGGAAAACTGGTGACCTGCAGTGCCCAATGTGTTGGGAAGGTGTTTAATCCCCTTGTGCATGCTGCAGTTTTTGCCTGCTTGTTTCACAGAGCAGCTCAGCACAGTGCTCACCTCACACCTTCTTTGGCAGCCAGGCTACATCAGCTACATTAACTCATAACTGGAGGCAGTGGCCATCAGCTTCCCCTCTATTTCGACTTGGAAAACTCAAAACACTTGCAGAGCCAGAGGGAAGACTACAACCAAGTGGGGAAGGGGCACTGTGATGTCCTTCTTGTCCCACTGCAGAGCGCGTGAGCACCCTGTGAGCCCCCCCAGCCTGCAGAGGGCCAGCCTGTCCCAGGGCCAGAGCAGCTCTGCAGAGGCTGACTGAGCACCAGGCTCTGCAGTGAGGGCATTAGGCAAGGTCACTGTGGGGATAGCTCTGCAAAGGCAGGGGATGGCAGCAGGCAGGAACTGGGCTCAGGGCAGGCAGTGCTGGCACCCCCCGAGCCTGGCTGAGAGTCTGGCTGGGGCTGCAGCCAGAAAAGGTGAAGGGATGCAGGTGTGGGATGGAGTTCCTTTGAAAGTGCTGTGGTAAGAGAACTGCTAATTAATTCAATACCAAAATACTTGCTTAGGTAGAAGGCTGCTTCTGAAAATCATGCAGATTGAAACAGCAAAGCTGCAGCTTCAACACCACTCTGAGGTTTGCAGTCCTCTCCTGAAAGACTCCAAAGATGTGAATCTTAGCAAGGCAGTGAGACAACTGCAAACCAGTTCCCTCTCAGCCATGTGTGGTGGGACCCCCATTCAGCCCTTGCAGCAGAGCTCCCACCCCTGTCCTCACAGCAAATTATCTCTAAAACTGTCCTGAAGCCCATTCCTCTCCTCTGCCTCAGTCAGAGCCCTCCAGATTCCCACTGCAGGCAGCAGAAATTAATTTCCCTTCACACATCTGAGGGGTAGAGAGCACACGTATCACTGCCCCAGGGGAATGTAAAATAAATTGAGGAGCACTGGCATGCTCAAAGCCCTGGAACAGCTGCCATCAGTTTTATATAACAGGTTGTGGTTTCCTCTGACAGCTTGACCTCAACGATCATCTTTGCCCTGAAGGCTCCTTTCCTTGGGCAGGTTGGTCCCTCCCCTGCTCCTTCCTTCCCTCTCATCCTGCCCCATCTCCCTCCCAGCTGTGGCTGCCATTTGTTCCTTCCCAGTTACCAAATCCAGTTTTGTCCTGGAAGAGACTGAGAACACCCTGCTGCACCATCCCCCCTCCAAGAGCTCACACAAAGCAGGAAACGTGGTGGCTTCCCAGTGAGCTCTTCTTTCCCTGTGCTGCTGCAGGAGCACAGGCAATGTTTTAATGGGTTGTTATTCCTTCCATTTCAAACAGGGAGGGAGGAAACTCTGGAGCAGGAATGGTGCCATAGGGTCCTGGTGATCCAGGGAAGCTCATCTGAGCTGCACAGCACAACAGGCTGGGCCCAGGGCTGCCACAGGATCAACTCAAAGTGCTGAAACCCAGGAAACACTGAAGGCTTTTGTCAGTTTTTCACTTTACTCCCTATTAATGCTTCACCTAAAGGTGAGCTCTTCAGAAGTTAATGGAAAACATCCAGCCAGCACTAAATTCTTCCTGCCAGTTTTTGATGAAGAAAATCCCTGAAGTTGTAATTTCAATCAATCTCTTAGGATACATATTTTAATTCCTTATTACTATTATTTCTGCTTATATAGAAGACAAATAATGTAAGATTCAACTCCCTGAGACTCAAGTTTTGCAGAAACTCACTTAGAATCATCCCAATGTACAGCTTAAGTTAGGGCTTGAATATTTCTCAGTACTTCTGCAAATAAATCATTAGATCTGTACCCATCATTTACCAGCCCATCTCTGCCTGTTCTAATGAGCAACACATTGCATTTATCACCCCCTCTGTCATCATTTATCATGGTGTAGTCCATTAAAATCCTTGAACAAACCTCTCCCCTGCACTGAGGAGCTGCAGGATTTGACCCACTTAAATTTAATAAGAGACAGATTCTTTCTGAAGTCTCTCTGATGTTAGTAATTCACATGGGTTTCTTTTTTTAGATTAGGTATTATTGCCTGGCATTTAAGGCTCAGATAATTAAGTAGATTTATATTTATATTGTCTTATTATTTACTCATGTCTGTTACTTAAAACCTAATAACAAACAATGACATTACTACTCAAGTACTTAAGTTATCCATAATTGAAATTAGGATCCAGTGCAAATGACTGCTTATTCTGACTTGATGGATAAATAAACATTCATCAGTAAAAGCAATGAAGACAGCAAATGAAAAATAAACCCTTGCTCTCTTTATCCTGTGTCACATGGCCAGGACATGCAGCATTGCCTTGAAGGTGGGAAGATGTAGACATCAATATCAAGGATGGGAAAGCAAGTTGGAAAGTCAATATAATTTTGGACATGAATATCTTTTGGATATAATTTTGGACATGAATATCTTGGGATACAAGCAAGACAAGATTTGAAGGAGGAGATAACATCTTTATTGCACATAGGGATAGAATGATAAAAAGAAATAAGTATTCAGGCTCAAAATGCTTTTTCAGTTTGCATGCTGTAAAGCTTATCTGCTCTTCCAAGTATATCATTATGTCTCAGGAATGATATTATCTCTCCCTGCAGACTCTATAGTGCTTAAAATGTCAGCTCTTCTTGAAGATGTCTGCTTTGCACCTTCCATCTGTTCCCAGGGATGAAACTGCTGTCCATCTCTGCTTCCCACCTCTCCCACAGCAATGTGGGAAAAGGCAGAGGAGGGTTTCCAAATAAAATATGTCTTTTAGATTAATATTAACCTCATTTCCATACCTCAAACTGTTGGCAGAGACCACAGAGCATGGGTATTATATGCCTGCCATGTGAAATACTATTTATAGGAGCCAGCTCTATGAGTAGGCACAAGAAAAAGTTACCAGTTGTTTCAGTGCAATATGTGTACAGTAAAATTAGTCTATAATTATTAAGAAAAATCTTTTACTTGGAAGAAAAAAGAGTTAAGAAAAAGAGTTGGTGGGTTTAACAAAATTAGTTTGAGTTCTTTCTAAAAAGAAATAAGAAAAAAATAAAGCAAACAGGAAATACCCTAAACTCATATTGTAGATGCTTAGGTAGCATTTATTTTTATTAGAAGTGTACAAAAAAACAATCAGGCTTTTTGTTCCTGTAGTGTGGATAAGGGATGGTATAATCCCCATTTTTGAGAGGGAAGAATGTCGCTATAGGACACGAAATAAAACAACGTGGACACGCAGCTCTCCAAGGTAAAAAAGAGGGAAGTTTAATTTCTGACTCCAACATTTATGGTTTTCCAAAAGTGACAGTGGATTGGAGGGTGACAGTGCCACCTCTCCAATGACACTGGACAAACCAACAGTCCATCAAATTTCTCCTGCTCCATAAAAGAATACAAAACAGTAAGTTATTTACATAAAGTGTGTGAGAAAGTTCATTACAAGAATATAAACATCAGAAGGCTTAGAAAAACTTAAAAAACAGGGCGACAGATGAAAGGTAGAGTTATCTGGTTTGCCCAGTCACACCACATCCCTACCAGCACATGGAATTAAGCCTTGCTCCTTTCCCAAGGAGGTGCCCATCCTGCTGTCCTTTGGACAGAGCAGCCCCAGGCAGGGCTAAAGCCAAACCAGCCCTCCCAGGGAATTCCCGCCATGGTTTTCCTGCAGGCAGAAGGGAGGGCTGGGCGGCCTTTTGGGCAGCTGTGACAGCGCAGAGCTGGACTGTACACATCATAAAAGGAGGAAGGTTTGGCCACAGGAGCCAGTGCCTGAGGAGAGCACAGGCAGGCAGCTGCAGTGGATTCCCTGGGTCATGGATGAAGGCCAGCACGATGTTGGACACGGCGCTCGCTGCCCCCTGCACCAGGAAGCTGAAGGCGGCGGTGAGCGGCTCCAAGGCCTGCGAGGCCGCAGGGCCCAGCATCACCGAGCTGCTCATCAGGGCCGTGTCCGCCCCCAAGGAGCGCAAGGAGCTCTCCCTGGCCATGTCAGGAAGGCGCTGGCTGCCGGTGGCTGTGACGAGGAGGAGAACAAGAGCCACATCAAGCTGGGGCCCAAGAGCCTTTCCAGCAATGGAGCCCTGGTGCAGACCAAGGGCACTGGGGCCTCTGGCTCTTTCAAGCTGAACAAGAAGACGGGTGAGACAAAAGAAAAGGCAACAAAGAAAAAGACAGCTGCCAAACCCAAGAACCCAGCAGCCAAGAAGCTCACAGACCCTGCCAAGAAGCCCAAGAAAGTGGTGATGGTGAAGAAGAGCCGCAAGAAGGCCAAGATGGTGAAGACGAGCCCCAAGAAGGCAAAGAAGCCAGCAGCCACAGCAGCTAAGAAAGCAGCCAAGAGTCTCAAGGGAGCCACACGGGCAGGCCACGCCAAGGAGGCAGTGAAGAGCCCAGCTAAGGCGAAAGCAGTGAAGCCCAAAGCAGCCAAGCCTAAGGCAGTCAAACCCAAAGCGGCCAAGGTAAAGAAGGCAGTGCCAAAAAAGAAGTAAGATGACTGAGAGAAATTGAGAGTCTACTCATTTAAATAAATCCTGTCATCTTGGGTGACAGTCTAGTGTCACTAGTCTAGTCCTCTAGTGATGCTCAGTTACCTAAACTGAAGGTACTGGTACAGGACCTTGTCACTCGGGGCAGGGTGTGTGTGTATTCCCACAGACACTGGTATCCAATGGTAACAACCCTCTGCACCAGCTGGATGGAAACCCCAGACCTTTGGAATGACAACTCGCCTGTGACTTCACCTGGACCTCAAGAGTCAGACACTTTAAGGACATTACCAGCAAAAAGAAATGCTCCCTCTGACAGTTTCAAATATTACCTCTGATAGTTTTTAAGTTGGTTTGTTTGTTTGTAACATTCAAGTTGTAAGTTTTAAGTAATTAGCTGGCAGCATGCCAGGCAGCAACATTGTACCTTTGATAGCTCCTGGACATGATAGTAAAAAATTGATGGGACACACCAATACCTAGAAAGATTAGGTTTGTCAGTTTAGTGAAGAATTTCATTCTCCTTGTACTGTGTTTGTTGTCCTTTCTGCAAAGGGGCCCCACAGAGAGATAATAAACATAGCTTTTATATTTTAAAACAGAAAAGGGGGAGCTGTGAGAGCACACAGCTGGATTGTGTGTGCCATAAAAGGAGGAGGGGTTTGGAGAGCCAGCCCTTGACAAGAATGCAGGCAGCTGTTGGTCAGTGAGCTGGTGGTAACCAGTCATAGCCAAGCAGGTTTGAACATGGAGTATTTTGAATAGGGTGTGTGAGAGCTGTGCAAACCAATAAGGTCTCTGCTGCACAAACCACGAGTGCTGTGCTATCTGTCTCCCCTCATTGTGAGAGCCAACAAGGCATCTTTTATACCCAAACCGTTTTGCAGCTTTCTGCCAGGACGAGTTGGCCTTACAGTGAGCACAGGTACAATTTACATCCCCAGAAATCCATTTACACACTGCTCAGGTGGTGCCTGGACACCTCAGCATCCATGGAGAGGAGGAACAGGGATCAGTTTCCAGTTCTGGGCTGGCCTCTGTGCCAGCACAGCCACCACCCAAACACAGGGGACAGGTCCCAGACAAACACCTGCATTCCCAGGGGAGACCCAAGCCTCCTGCCAGGCACAGGAGGGGCAGCCCAGTGTTTGTCTCCTAGTCCCTGTGGCTCACAGCCATGTGCCAGCCACGCTCGTGCACGCGGCACCAGCACCATCCACCCACTCTGCTGGCTCCTTCCCTCAGCATTATGTCAGCCTGTTCCACAGCACCAGAGCCAGCCTGCTCCCCCGTCAGAGCCCTGCTCCCAGAAACTCAAAAATATCCCTCCCTTCTGTTCCTGCCAGCCTCCAGCCGGGCTGAGTTCTGCATGGCTCCATTTTTGAGCTGCTCTCATGCCACACTGCCAGGACTTCACCTGAGTCCAGGACTCGTCTCACCAAGAGCCCAGACCTGAGCTGCATCCCCTGGTCCACAGCACTTACAAATAGTGGAATGTGATTCCAGGCAGGGAGCTCCTAAAATGGAGCTTTTCAACCCTTCCTGGGGAGGCCTCTGAGGCCTTGTCTGTCACAGTGTCCCGCATGGGGCTCTGCGTGCGTGGGGGATGGCTCAGCCCTGCTGTGGGTGTGCATTGTCCCTGCTGTGGGTGTGCATTGTCCCTGCTGTGGGTGTGCATTGCTGTGGGTGTGCATTGCTCCTGCTGTGGGTGTGCATTGCTGTGGGTGTGCATTGTCCCTGCTGTGGGTGTGCATTGTCCCTGCTGTGGGTGTGCATTGCTGTGGGTGTGCATTGTCCCTGCTGTGGGTGTGCATTGTCCCTGCTGTGGGTGTGCATTGCTGTGGGTGTGCATTGTCCCTGCTGTGGGTGTGCATTGTCCCTGCTGTGGGTGTGCATTGTCCCTGCTGTGGGTGTGCATTGCTGTGGGTGTGCATTGTCCCTGCTGTGGGTGTACATTGTCCCTGCTGTGGGTGTGCCTTGCTCCTGGCTGTGTCTGGAAAACGTGGGCATGGCAGAGGGTGTGGAAATGTCTGGAGGTGTGCTACTTCCCTGATGGGTACTAATTAAAAGTACATTATGAACAGTTCTGTTTATTGGTGCAGAGTCCTAAAGTTTTGCACTGTTAAGGCCAGTTTTAAACATTTATTATGCCTGCCAGCATTAGCTGACAGCAGGGCTGGGATCACTGCAGCTCATTCAGTTGTTGCTTTTACCAATTCCATTTAAAAGAATGTCTTAATTTTTCCATCTGTGACCCTCCCCTCCATTTTCCCCTTCCCCCCACTTTGTTTCCCTTTGTGTGTGGTTCCTATATTTATGGTGGTCCTCTCTGGCAAACTAACAATGATCAGGTGAACAATCCCAGGGAGCAATTTGTCTACCCCTGCCATCCTTCCACACACCAAGGAAATCCAAGATCATCTAAGCTTTTCCCAGGTGTTTCTGCTTTTCCCCTTTTTGAAGTAGAAATACTGCATTACTTTCATCCCTGTTATGAGTTTGTTGATGTCAGAAGTAACATCAGATGTGATTTTGCCCTGTGCTTTCCCAGGATATCCATAGGGAATATTGTTCATACATGCAAAAGCAGGTCACACACATACTAAACCCAACTGAAATTGAGTCAGGTCTTCAAAACAAACTTCCTCCGTACTCAAAGTAAAACACTGAACTATCTTGAATCATTAAGACTACCAAATGACACCTTCTCTTCCAATAAACACATACTGACAATTTCAGACACTTTTCCCCTTTTGTTCCAAGTCAAGGAGTTGTTTGTTGTTTCCAGGATCGTCCTTCATTACAAGAATGCAGGACAGTAGCAATTTCCCCCAGAAGCTCATAAAAATCCTTATTGAGTATATTCCAGTAAATTATTCTGAGGAATAAAAAGAAAATTAGAGTACCCACCTTCCATATTTCTCAGACTTTTTACGTGTATTATGGATCTTGAGATGATTAAATGCCACTGAGTAAGCAAGTAGACTTTTACAGCAAAAAACCCCAAACTTTGTTTAAAATAAATTATCTTTGACCTCAGCATCCAGTTATAAAGGGAGGATTACCAAAGACACCAGTGTTTCTGTGAAGATGGTGTTCATGAGACACATACAGCGTATCCAACACCTTCCCTCCTGTGGCAGTGACTGTGCCAGCCCCAGTTTTCCTGGGAATTCCAGCCCTCCGAGCGATTGCGGCGAGTCCTGGCCCTTTGCCACTCAGCCCGGGATATTCTTGGCAGCAGTGATAAGGGCACTTGTTCCAAATAAGGAGAAATCTAGAAACTGGTTTGTCTCCAAGCAAATCCACCAAAGCTCACAGGGCCGGACACAGGCGGGGGAAAAACACCCACAAAAAACCCAAATGAAGCAAAAGTGAACTTCTGACTGTCTGTCTCGCCAGCACCAGCCAAATCTCATTAAAGAGCCACAATGATGAAATACATTGACAGTAAGTGCAACAGACTTGATGAAAGACCTTAAAATGTTCATGCTAATCCAAAGTTTCATTTTCACGTTCCACACAAGCTTTCCAAACAAGAACAGTGCCAGAAAGCATGGAAGAACAATCTTAACTTTTACCTTTCTAAAAAAATTTAAAAAAACCCCTCAAGCACCAAATCCTGTTTTCCATTTTTTTTCTCAGCACCTGCATATTTTGCTGGACAGGTGAAAAGAAAAGGCTTTCCTCAGTTTGCTCAGTTTGCTTGTGAGAAAAACCTGTGTTGGAGCTATGAGCTCCTTCAGAGTCTGGAGGAACAACGTGGAGCAGCTGGTGCCTGATTTACACCATGGAGGAACCACCTCAGTAACTCCACAGTTACTCCCCATGTACCACGGAGGCACCCCTGTGCACAGACTGAATAACTCAGCACTTTGTATACAAAAGAAAAACCCCAAGAAAGCTCCAGTCCCAGTTCTACTCCAAATCCATTATTTAGTCTGACTGCCCCCGCTCTATTTCCTCCACTTTGATCAACTAATGACCAAGAAAAGCAATTACCAGCATAAGGAAAATATATTCTTGGTATCTTTGAACTGCTGTGGCAAGAGTAAATGCATTCCTTTTGTGAGAACAGAGGAAATATTTCTTTAGTGGCTAAGATGAGAAATGAGGGGGAAACAAGTAGGAGGAGGTAGGGGAGAGACTATTATTTTATTAACTAATTAGATCAGCATTGAAAGAAAACTAGCCTGCAAATCTCTGCACTATTGATTGTGCAGATATGGCTGCAATGTACAGCAGAGATGATGAAACACTGGGATGTGCATTTGGAAATGGCTTGTCCTGCCTGGTACACCAACCTACAAAATAACTGAGTTATTGTCATGGGGGGAGGGATAAATACATCAGTGACAGGTTTGGGAAAATGGTGTGTGCAGGTAACAACTGCTCTTGAAGCCTGTTCTTCAAAGTCTTCCAGTGCCAGCACATGAGAGAGAACAAATCCCTCTGCCATTTCTCTGGTTTTTGTGTATTTCCATGAACATCTCCACTGCCACTGTTCCAGTCAGCTATAGCACCACCAAACACACCAGAATAAACCCAAGCAGCTCTGCAATAACAATGGGCCCAAAACTGACTGAACCACTCCAGCACCAGCTGTGGCTGGGCCAGACAGCACCAGAGCAGTGCCCCTGCCCTGCCCCAGACTGTTCCCTGGGGGGAGATGATGCTGAAGGACATAAACTGAAAATCCCAACACCCTCTCAAAAACGAACACATGGGAGCAAATATTTAACATTAAACTCTACATTTCTACAAAAACACTCCAAGAAAGAACAAAACATAATGCCTTAAAAAAATAAAAACAGAGTGGAATTTATGGAAATACAAATCATCCTTTATTAAAGATTTCCCAGGGCACTCATTCAACAACACACCCTGGAATCCCAAAGGTACAGAGCAGCTGCCTTCCAAACCTGCAAGGCTGCAGTTTAAAGCCATGGTGTAGTTTAGAATAATATCATTGCTCAGGATCTGGCCTGGCAGCTCAGAGGCTC